AAATCAATTACAAATCTGTAGCTCATATTTATGTCAATTATTTATAATTAAAAGTAGATTTAATATAGAATTGATAATTAATTATCAGCGCTATTGTTGATCAATAAAATGATTTATAAAAATTATTTCTGATTTGCATTTATTTTACTACTAAATGTATAAGATAGAGTACTAGCAAATAGCTAGTATAAAGGTAAGTTATTGATCATCAATGTTCATAAGCCAGGCGTCGCAAACTATGGTGAAATAATGACCATAATTAAACTTAACACTGTATTCATTGAATATGGCATTGGAATCAAAATAGCAAAAATGAGTGAGAATTTAAATTTGTAACCAATTTTAACAGTCAATAGAAGCCATTATTTATTGATCGTAACATTTAATAATAAATACAATGAGTTATTAATATTAATATAATATATTCAACTAAAGCAACAATTATATCATAAATGATTAAACAAATCAAAAGTAAATCATAATTCAAAATACGGTATTAAATAATAGACACAATAATAATCACAATATGTTTATAGTATTAGTTTCAATGATTAGACCATTTGATTCATCTCATAGCTTGTGATATCGCTTCTATCGAGCAGTGGTTGAGAGCTCTTGTCGTTTCTGATGATGGTTTTGGATGAGACGGGCATCATATTCAACACTTTACTCAAATTGGCACTAATTAACGATCCCTTGGGCTCAGGAATGTTCGTGTCTTCGAGGCCTCGATGCAGAGATATGTCATCAAAATCGGCATTATTTCGCAAATCTCTGGTCATTAACTCAAAGTCCAGGTATTCCTGCGTCTGAAGAGTCCTTTTCGTGGGTTTTGTATACATTTTCAAGAGAAGCGAAGAACAGACTACGGATACAGACGAGAGGGCCATCGCTGCCGAACCCATCCATGGCTTCAAGACTATACCCCAGGGAAGGAACACTCCGGCGGCCATTGGAATGCCCAACAGGTTGTAAACACTGGCGAACAGGAAATTGAGTCGAATTCGGCGGACAGTCCGGTGAGACAAATCAATGGCTCCGACGACGTCAAGCAAATCGTTCTGATATATAGACAACAAATAATACATTAAAAACTGAGTATAAAAAGCCATTTGAATGCTACTCACTCTGACGAGTACCACATCCGCCGCCTCCACCGCCACATCGGTTCCGTTGGCGATAGCGATGCCGATGTTGGCCTGCGCTAAGGCGGGCGAGTCGTTCACACCGTCGCCAACCATTGCCACTTTTATTCCCTTTTCCTGGAGTTTTCGGATTTTCTTCACTTTATGCGATGGCAACACTTCGGCAAAGACACGAGTGATGCCCACCTGTTTGGCAATGGCGGCCGCAGTCTTCTTATTATCACCTGTCAGTA